GGCTTGGAGGTTCCCAAACAAAGCCAAGTTGTAGATCTAGGCTGGCTACTGCTAGTGCTGGGCCTGGGGCCACTTAGCAAGAGGTACAGGGGCTGGGGGCTCCGTGAGACCCATAGTTGCTTGTTTAAGAGGATTTAGGAAGTTGCAAATCATTAGCCAAGACCAGTCATTCATGTGGAACAGTTACTAATAATAGCTTGGGTGGGCTGGTAAATTGGGTGGGACAGAGTGTTTGGGGATCTCTAGGGTGGGGCAAACCATGTTAGCCAAGTTGATGGAGTCTCATATAAGACACTCGCCTAACAGCTCTGTAGCTCTGTTAGGTAAAGGTTCAGAAAAGAGACCATGGCCTCTACCTGCTTTTCTGTCTGGGAGAAAGCTCTTGCCTCGATGCCAGACACTTTAGCTCCTCCCTGTATGCCACTGGTGCCTTTCAAGCTGCTACCCTGGTTTTGGAGCTTAGATGGGCTGAGTCTGAGTTAAGTCCTAAAGAAGACTTAAGTTTCTACCCTCATCAATGTTATAACAAAATTATGTTGAACAAAACATCATTATTTAAAGATCTGCTGTAATTATTATTTTATTGTGAATCCTCACTTCTTCCCTAAAAAATAGATGATGTTTTATCTCTGATTAGGAGCTAGATGACAAAACTTCAAGGAAAGAACTTGGAGAACTTTGAAATGTGAGACCTGAAGGTGAGGGTCTGAAGAGACAGGATCCTAAATCTGGCCTAGGAGAGGTAAAACCATTGTGGACAGAGATCTGACTCCTTTGTGGCAGCCAGAAGTGTGGTGTTGTGTTATAGATACTGGAATCTGTCAGGGCGAGAAATGTTTACAGTGGGCATTTGAGGGCTGCCCATGTAGCACACAGCCTGCTTGGTTGACCTCAGTGCTCTACAATGATTACAGATGAAGGACAAGGGGAGGAGATGAGATGTAGGCCAAGGTGTTCTAGGGCCTGAGGAAGATGTTTCAAAGAACCATCTTTGAATAGAGATGCATCCCCCTGAGTTAAGGCTAGGAAAGAGGGAACCAGTGGAAACTCTTAAGAACCTGTGACTCTTCTGGAGAAAAGATACCATCTTAACCATCTGCCAGACCTGCAGGGAGCAAAGTGATTAGGCTAGGTGAGAAAAAATTCATCACCTCCCCTGCCTGCCCACCATCCTGGAGGAGAGGACATTAATTGGGGAATAATAATTGAAGGGATGGAGGTGCTGGGACCAGCTGTGAGTAATCAGACAGCTTTCCGACCTCTCACCACCACCCCCTCACTCTACTGGAAGCTCCAGCAGGAAACAGACCAAAGCTGGGGTCAGGGGAGTTGGATTATAATTCAAGTTTGGAATTTTGTACATTACATGGGACAGAAAGCTCTCATTTCTGAACTGAAACACAAAACCAAGGCCAGAGTTTTCATAATGGGCAGAGGAAGACTACTTCACTGAGTAAGATTAATAGGGCAGCGAGAGAGACAGAAATGGGGTTGCATCAGGATCACAATCTGTGAGCAAGAATGAAAATCAGATTTTTCAAAGCACTTGAAAACCTTGCTCTAAGAAGGACGTTCTCCACATTGGACTGGGAAGGCTCAGTGGAAATGCGGGTAGAGAGGATGAAATTACTTTCCTGGGCTCAATAAGCATAATGCACTATCTATAGATAGAGTTAATCCATCTGAAGACAATTACCTTTTTTACTTTTTCTATGACCAGCACATTCACTATAGCAGTCATTAAGTTGTCACTGGACTTCCTTTCAAGAGAAACATTGCTTGTCTTCAGCTACAAGAGGTTCAGTTAACTGACAGCTTCCAGCTGCTGTGCCTGCAAGGTCTGTTCCTCCTGAACAGCCACTGGCTGTGTACAGTGAAGGAGCTAGCACGTAGCTCAGAGCTCCCTGCGAATTTAGCAGACACTGCTTTGCATCTTGGTCCCAGGCTCTCCTTGCTCAGTTCTGCTTCCCTCCCCAACTTTTGACATGTTCAGTCAGTTACAACACCTTCTTCATACGCTGCACAAATCTTTTTTTGCATTTCAGATGTATCTTTACCTCTTTGAAATAATAAAGCATAATATGGCAAAAATGTTGCATATTTTCTTCCATCTTCAATATTAAAAAGACTGCACAAAAGTTCACCAATTTTTAAATGCACAGTGATATGACAGCTATCACAATACAATCCAACAAAATTGTTTTGAATGAAGTTAAAGACCACTAAGCACTACTAGAGCCATCTTAGAGAAAAAGCCAAATTAACTTTTCAGCCAACCCAATATTTTTTGATGATCATGCCATCCTATCTGTTACTAACAAAAAATATTTGGTGCTACATTTTAAGGAATATAGATAATTATCAACTAGAAAGCTTTAATATGCTTGTTTAGTACAGTAAGTTTAGTCAAACATTACAGCATGAAAACTCTGGGATACAAAAATGAAATTGGTTCTGTTCACATCTACATCTATATACCACCTAATGCCAGAAATGTTGCACAATATCCAGTCAAGTGATTGTCCAGTCTTAGTTTGATTACCAGGTGCTGGGGTCCAGCCTCTGCAGGGTTCAGGGTCCCTGAAGGATAGACGATGCAGGCAAATGAAGAGTCAGACATCCGATTGTATACTGGAGAACAGCCAGCCTCTGTGGGACTGACCAAACTCATAGAGTTTGATTTAGGCTTTATTTTAATAGAGATTGTTGTATAATATTAAAGGAACAGGTACATGGCATGATCAGTTAGGCAGAAAAAAACAATACAGAGGTAACCAGGAAAAGTACAAGAATTTCCAGTTTTAGTTATGTTAAACAAAGTTGTTTTGACCAGGAGAACCATTAATCAGACAATTTGAAATAGCTCTATGTACAGAGTTTGAATGTCTTATTGTTTATTAAAGATCTTAGAATTTGACATGGGGCAAAAGGGTACGCTAGACCGAGCAGAGGTTAGGAAATTCATTATAAGGCCTTTGTGATGTCTAACTTAGCTATCTATCTTTCTGTCTAAAATGTTTCTTTATGTAATATGGACTCTAACTCCTTGGTAATTGTTTCTACGTGCTTAGTTTGTAGTAGCAAACAAGCTTCTCCTGTTTTTTTGCCTGTCTACTTCTTAATATATATTCCTATTCAAGGTAAAGAAGGGGCTGTTACTCCAACAACTTTTAGACATTCAGGGGCTATTTCATTAGAGGGAACTTTGTTCTCCGGTCAAGAAATTATTTTGTACAACTTCATTGGAATTATGCAAATCAATGAACCTGAAATACAGGTGTCTAACAATCCCACCACCTTTTGATCACCAAAACAAACATGTAAGGAGAGATAGGCAGGAAATCCAGCCACAGTTGCCTCTGCCTTGCAGATGCATCTCAACAGTCCCGACCATGTCAAGGGATGGTTGCTGGCTGGCTCCCGACAACCAGGGGCAGAAGTTTCTGCCTCACAAGATCGCCCAGTATGTTCTAGATAGCTCTCACCATTAGAAAGATTTTAGATTCCTTGTACTTACCCTCGATCTGATTTGATCCACATTATATCCTCACAAAATAATTTAAAGTCTTTCTGTTAGGTATGATAGATAGTAAGCCATGGTAGGGAGGAGTGGGGAGACATATCTCACCCATTAACTTAGCAGTCCTGAGCCTGGTCTGATAATATTGCCAGGTGTTCCAGCACCACAAGAAACATCATGCTAGCAAAGGCAGAAGGGAGCCCTTGAAATTCTGTGTGTATCATTTCCACTATCTGGGAAAGAAAGCCTTTGAAACTGTATATTCATCCCAAGGTCTAGAAGGGGGAAGAGGTGGAGATCTACAGTACCTAAAGAAGAAAACTATAAAACGACTTTGGTTAACTGCCTACCTTTGGTCACTATCTGTTTTACAAGGGGGTCTATAGTACTTACAGAAAGAGCCCATAAATAACTTTGGGTAACTGCCTCAACTTTAACTAACTGCCTCCTGTCACATATCTGTTTTACAACATGATGAATGAATGTGGTCTGGAGCAAGATGAGAATTCAGGGAAACAGACCCACACACATATCTACATTTGGGTAATCACATTCCCCTGGGGAAGCTGTCACCATCTATACCCACCAATCAATATGTAGTTCCCTCACCCCCATACTGCCAACTATGTATGTCCTCAGGACAAAAGACCTGGTGCTCTTGCCACCCTTGTTTTTTGCCACCCAAGGCTACACCTTTCTATCCCACCTTGGCGAGGCCCATTTTCTTCCATGAGAATGTATCACTGATAAACTTTGCTTACATGCTAATAGGCTTGCTGACCTGTAATTCTTTAAAGTGTAGGCAAGAAATGAGTTTCTCCGCTACTCAAGAATTCAGTAACATTTTCATTTTGGCTTTTTTAAAGAGTGTCAGATTTTTCTTCCTCTGAATAAGTCTCTCAGTTGGCAACATAACTAGCTTGAAATGCAATAGAAAGATTTAATTCATTCATTCATTCCAAATATATCAGTTGAGTTAGATGTGTCTAGCCTGGGAGCCCAGAACAGTGGGACATACAGAGATATTTCAAGAGATGGAGTCTGTCTAGGGAAATAAAGATGTTTATAAGATCAAATGATCACACCTATGTAGGAGTTGCCAAGCCTGGATAGAAAGTGTTTTAAGAGTTTGAGAGAGGTGGTGGTATGTCTGGGGGGTATGAAAACATAGAGGGTGGGGACTCTATGAAAGCTTCACTTAGGAACGTGGGATCTGAGCTGAATTGATGGACAGGAAACCTGAGTCAATGGGTAAACTCTCTTGACAATGAAGCTCAGAGAGAGAAATCTTTCCAACATGGAGGGGAAGGAGCTTTGTGAGAAAGGAGGAAGTTAGAGGGCTGGAGATAGGATGAGGATTATTTCTTGCTCCTCAGGATAGCCAATCAGTCACTGTCTTTAGCAGCCTCCTGACAGCTTGTCTTCTTCACAGCCTTGTGTGCTGACCAAGTCACACCTCCTAGGGCATGAGGCTGCTGACATGTGGACCCTTCCTCAACTGCTCCTGCTCTTGCTGTTCCAGGAAGGTGAAAAAGACTGCAGCTCCAGGACAAAAGTGTGTTCTTCCCCCTTTTATTCTGTTTTGCTGGGCCTTGGGTTAGCAAGGTACTTGCTTTAGTGCTGAATGTTTCTGCTTTTCTGAAGTGAAAAGGAATAGGGTATAGCTTCAGGGCAGGATCAAGAGATGAGGAAACCTGGGGATATGGGAGGGAGAGTAGCTCCATAATGGCAAACAGAGAAGATAAAATTTGGAGGGTGAGGGCACAGATGGAAGCCAACTCCTGGCAGCTGTTCAAGTCAGGTGCAGCAGAAAGCTAAAGCCAGAAGAGGCAGCTGGAGGACAAGATTGAGTGTGGGACCATAGCAAGTTGCTCAACAGAGATTGAGACCACAGCCCTGCTGCTAGTCCCAGCAGCCCAGATACACCAGCTGCCTTTTTATCTGTTTTCTTATCTTCAGCCAAAGGAGGTTTTGGAGATGGTATGGATCCCAAGGAAATGATTGCAGTCTTTCAGGAGTTCATCAGTCTGCCCCTGGAAATGCAATTTGGTGAAGAGGTAGAGAACATCATCTGGTCCTCCCACATAAGGCTTGCTACTGTGGTGCCAGGGAGAAACATTCAGCTACCACTGTGGTGATCAGCCCTTGATACCAGGGTTGAGTAAGCTTTCTGAATCCCAGCTACTCTCTGCACATCAACAACCTGAGTTTGAAGGACTTGGGGCCTTACCAAGATCGAGTCAACCTGAGGACATCTCAGATCTCTACCATGCAGCATTACAATCTATGTATATACCATGAATTTAGTTTGGCAACTGCAAATCTGCTTTCTCTGGATTTCCTGAGCTTCCCATGGAAAGGAGGAAGGGTCTCATTACTTGGGATTATGACTTGAAAGGCTGTGACTGAAAGACAGACTGTCCCCAGTGTACCTAACCCAGCACCTGCCACCATGGGTAGAGTGACCTGAAGCAGTAAAGCACTGGGGCATGGAGGCTGTTCCTGTGGAGGTATCCAATATAGAGAGGTCAGGGGCTTTGTGTGTAGATCTCTAGGAGACTTTCTCTCCCAGTGAGATTTTACATGGGGGTTGAGGAGTGTGAACACCACCTCTGTTTTTGAGCCTTTTTTACTCTTTTGTGTGATTTGAGGGTTACTAATCAGTGACTCCTCTCTATTTGAATGCAAGTTTCTTCTTAGTACCTGTGATGCTGGCTGATATTCTAGCTTGAATCTTGCTGAGACACTGATTGAATTATAAATGTCCCTGAGAAGGGGGCAATGTATGTTGGGATTAAGGAGGTAGAATGTGTAAGAGAAGAGAGGCAAGGTAATAAAAGGGAGGTAGAAGATGACAAAGGCAGCTCTGTCCGCCTCAGCAGCTGCCTGGGGGACCCTGGGTTGTATGCTGACTGAATTTTGCTAGTTTTTGCTTATTTGTTGTTTGCATGGAGGAGCTCTCAGAGCACAGCACCCATAACACAATGTTGAAGAACTTACGAAAACAGACCCAATTCCTTATTACCCAGAGGGCTTTTGTGTTGTTCTTATCTAGAATGGCTCTCACAGCCTCACATCACTGTGAACTTTGAGATCTCTGGCAAAGGTCCCTGAAATATGTCCCTGATATGCTCTGTTGAGAAAGCAGGCCTGGATGTGACCTACAGCTGGATATCCTTGGAGGATGGCCAGGACACAGCTCATGAAGGCTCTGTCCTCCAAACATCCTGGAGCCCTGAGGACAATATCTTCTCCTATACTTGTAGGGCTAGCAACACCAGTTCAGCAACACCATCAGCAACACCAGTACCCATCTCACCCCCGCTGGATCCTTCTGTGCAGGTACCACAGAAGGTAGAGTAGAGAGCTGATGCAGGGACTCAAAGCCATTACCTCCCTCTCTAAGTTCTTGCCAAGAGAATACATAGAATCTAAAACCTAACTCTCTCCCATAGAGACTTGATGTCTGGATTGGGGAGGGAGCCCTCCCTTTTCTTAGAGCTCCCAACTTCAAAAGTCTCTTCTTTTGCAATTGACATTGCTCCCCCAATATCAATTCCTGAGCTTCTGTGAATAGAATTAGTATTTCCAGGACACTTTCACAGAAACATCAACTGACTGTGAACTTGAGACCACTCGGTGGGATTTGGAGTAGGTTTCTGCACATCACCTCTCTATCTGGTGAGCCTCTCCCTCCTTTCTTCTTCTGTTTCAGATACCTTTAGGGAAGGCCTCAGCTTCCTGCTTCCTCCTGGCCAAGGCATCTCTCCTTTTCCTGCTCCTGGTAATTCTGGACATGGGACTGTGGTTCATTTGAGGCCAGAAAAGATGCAAGATACCAATGATGAGAAAATTCAGGAGAAACAGAACGAGACTGAGAAAAGAAGAGAAGCATGCTTCTAGGCTGGACTGATTGCCTCTTGGGGACCCCTGTCCTGACCACTGTTTCCTCCCAGCTCCCAGGAAATCTCCCCTCTGCTCCCTAGGCTTTCTTTGTCCCAGGGGCCCAGGGTGGACGTACAAAGGATCTTACTTTCACAGAGAACATTGTGTGGCAATAAAGTTGAATTAGGTGACCGCCATGCTGGAAAAGTTGTTTGGTCCCTCCCTGGATGACTCTGGCAAGTCTGTATCTTCTCTTTCCTTCCAATCAAGGTGCCCCCTTCCAAATCCACTTTCTTTTCTATAGGGAACTGCTTTTCGAGATAAGGAAATGTAGCTCAGCACTCATGTGGAAAATCAGTGGGGGGCGAATCAGCACTCAGGACCATGCCCGTGAAGAAATTCTCCTGTGGGAAATCAGGCCCACGTTTTACCTAGGCTGCTTTGTGACTTGCTCTTGCTAAAACTCTCTAACCCTGAGTTCAGACAGAAAGCACTTGCTGCATATCTTTAAAGTAACTTCCTGAAGTCTGTGCTCATTCTCCCGAGGACTGAAGTATAGCCAGACCTGTTACTCTTATCATTCCCTTGAATTTGCAACATTTTTTTCTTTTTTTTACATTTTTTATTGATTATGCCATTACATTTGTTCTATTCCCCCCCTCCGTTCCCCTCCACCCTGCACACCCCTCCCCCACCATCCCCCCCTTTAGTTCATGAACATGTGTCTCAAGTTCTTTAGATTCTATATTCCCCTACTATTCTTACCCTCCCCCCTAACTATTTTCTATCTACTGTCTATGCTACTTATTTTCTGTACCTTCTCCCCCTTCTCCTTCTCCAACTCCCCTGTTGCTACTCCTCCATGTGATCTTCATTTCTATAGTTCACTCCTGATCTAGCTGTTCTCTTAACTTGCTTTTGTTTTAGGTGTGGTTGTTAATAACAGTGAGTTTGCTGTCCTTTCACTGTTCATCTTTTTTATCTTCTTTTTCTTAGGTAAGTTCCTTTAACATTTCATATAATAAGGGCTTGGTGATGATGAACTCCTTGAATTTGGTCTTATCTGAGAAGCACCTTATCTGTCCTTCCATTCTAAATGAAAACTTTACTGGATAGAGCAATCTTGGTTGTAGGTCTTTGGATTTCATGACTTGGACTACCTCTTTCCAGCCCCTTCTTGCCTGTGAGGTCTCTTTTGAGAAATCTGCTGACAGTCTGTTGGGAACTCCTTTGTAGGTGACTGTCCCCTTATCTCTTGCTGCTTCTAGGATTCTCTTCTTCATTTTCATCTTGGCTAATATGATTATGATGTGCCTTGGTGTGTTCCTTCTTTGGTCCAATTTCTTTGGGACTCTCTGAGCTTCCTGGATTTCCTGGAAGTCTATTTCCTTTGCCAGAATGGGGAAGTTCTCTTCTATTATTTGTTCAAATAAGGTTTCCACTTGTGACTGTTCCTCTTCCCCTTCTGGTACCCCTATAATTCGAATGTTGGAACGTTTAAAGATGTCCTGGAGGTTCCTAAGCCTCTCCTCATTTTTTTGAATTCTTGTTTCTTCATATTTTTTGTTTGGTCATTTTTTCCTTCCTTCTGGTCTACTCCCTTGATTTGAGTCCCAGTCTCCTTTCCATTACTATTGGTTTCTTGTGCATTACCATTCATTTCAATTAGTTTAGCTTTCATATGTTTCTCTAATTTGTGAATAAAATCAACCAGTTCTGTGAGCATCCTGATCACCAGTGTTTTGAACTGTGCAACTGAAAGTTTGGCTATTTCTTCATCACTTAGATTTATCGGCTCTGGGGCTCTGAGTTGTTCTTGAGCCATTTTTGGTCTGTTTGCGCCCATTAAGTATGACTGGAGCCTTAGGTGATCGCCAGGGTGGGGCCACCCAGGTCACTGGTTTGCGATGCTGTATGTGGGGGTGGGGTCAGAGAGGGAGCAATGGCGGTCCTTGCCCAGTCTCCCAGTCTGTCCCACAACTCGCCCTGGCCTGTTTATCTTAGCAGAAATGTGCGAGCCCGCTGCCCTGCGCTGTGCGGTCTCAATGCTCGCCTCTTCACTGGTTTATCTGCACGCAAATGCTCAACCGACCACAGACAGCCAGCCATGCCTCTTCCCTGTGTCTGCCTGTAGCTAACCCGCACCTGGGACCTGGGGCCTTCAGCTGCTTGCACACCGCCCCGGTCGGGGATCTTTTTGGCCAACCCGCTCCGTTGCTGGCTTCGCCCCTCTTACCGGTTTAGCTGAGCATTTCGTTGTTTTCGGACTCCATATTGTCGATTTTCTGTGTGGTTTGGTTGCATTTATTATTGTTAAAACTTTGTTGTTTTTAGATTTGGTCGTGAACAGATGCAAGGTGTTTCCACCTACGCCTCCATCTTGGTGGAATTCCCCAGGTGTTTTCTTTGTTAATCTGTAAGAAGTAATCAGTAACATCCCTTCCACCGCTATCTATAAAAAATAATTACCTAAAGCAAACCTAAGTATAATAAATGAAAACCTTCTTTGATGTATGCTATTAGAAAGCCAATAAAAGCCTGTCAAGACAAGGGTAGGCTCGGTCTCCTCTTGAGAGAGTGGCCAGGCTGCTCTGAGGCTCTCTCCCCTTGAGAGAGTAGCTGTGCTGTCCCTTTTCCTCCACAGGACTCAGTAGTCCACGTGAATGTCTCATCTCATCCATAACACTGATGACACTGCGGGCTGGTGTCTGTGCCACTTTTCACTCCAGATGCCCCCTCAAAGCCCCCATTTCTTCCACTCCAGGTGCTCCCTTCAAGCTGCTTTTCTTTCCACAACAGGTGCCCCTCTCCAGCCCCCATTTCCTTCCACTCGAAATGCTTCGTTTCAAGCCTATATTTTTTCTGGAGCCTGGCTTTGGAGATAGAAGTGAGTCTTCACAGTGTGGTGTTGGTTTATTATTATTCATCACCTATCACTTCCTCATTAACATGTAGAACATTTATACTTTAAATGTGTAAAGTGAGAGAATACTTCTAACCTAACTAATCTGTGACTCTTTAATGATAGCACATTGCAGGCTCTGAAAACTGAGTTGTTTTGTTCCTGCTAAGATCTGCTCTCACAGCCCTACTTGTACCTTGTCTGACAAGTTTACTTAAAACTACTCTCATGTACCCCACTCAGTCTAGAGGCTGTGCTGTTGGAGAGACAGGAACCTCCCTAGTGCCATTCAACTCTGCATCTGTGTGAGCCTGGAAACTTTCTGTCATCTCCCTGATGCCAGCTGCTCTGGGTCTCTGGTGTCTACCTCATTACTGGATCAATAACTGAGATCTGGACCCCTAACCTTTGTGGTTGGTGTTATTGTTCTGACTGTCCTTTCTTTATAGATTTTCATGACTCAGAGCTCTCTGGATTCTAGATCTGGGTTAATGTCTACCTCTTACACACATACCACCCCTCTTGGGCAAAGACCCTTAAGTTTATGTTCCTGTTCATTTCTGAGCCCAATGACAGCCTGAATTCCTCAGCCAGGCTTTGATCAGTCACTACTTAGAGGGGTGTGCAACCTGTGGTCCATGGGCTGCATGTGTCCCAGGATGACTATGAATGCAGACCAATACAAAATAATAAATTTACTTAAAACATTATGAGATATTTTTATGATTATATATCACAATATATTTCATATGTGGCCCAACACAACTCTTCTTCTTCCAGTGTGGCTCAGGTTGAACACATCTGGCTTAAGCTGTGGTCATCTTCCCATAATCAGATGTTGTGAAGCTGCCATGGGGTGGGGGAATTGGGCAGAGACTTGGAAGTCACCCAAGTGACAGGTCATGTGTAGATTATAAGTGAATTGAAGGGGGCGGTATAGAATTCAGTGGAGAGAGCCCTGGGTGAGATCTCAGGAGATCTGGGCTCTGTTCTGCCACCCATCTCTAGCTTAGGACACTTTGTTCAGGAAGTATCTTTTAGGGTACAGTCCCATTCAACAAGGAACACAGATTTTGAAGGAGAGGCAAGCATTAGTATACCTAATTGGAGCTCTTAGAGAGATATGGCTAATAGAGTGCCTTGGGTCCTACAGAGACAGGAGGAGTTGGTGCCCCTGGGGAGGTTCCAAAAAGGAGTGTGAGGGGTTAGGAGACAGCCATGTGGCAGAAGCCATAGCTGACATTTCTCTGGACCTCGCCTTCCCCTCTCAGTGAGGAAAAGGATGTTGACCTCCAAGGTGTCTTCCAAGGCAAGAAATACTTGGCTGTGAGGAGGCTTTGAGATGCACTAGAAAATGGTGGAGACCAAGGACACTGCTTTTGGGAAAAGAAGACACGTGGGCCAGGCACTAAACACCCAGGAAGAGGGCTCTGAACAGCATAGGCCATTGGGCAGAAACTAAGAGCTAGGCTTCCTGGACTAGAAAGAAAGCAGGGCCAGGATGTTAGCAGGGCCTTCCTGCCTAGGTTTATGTATAGAAGAGGGAGCCCTCTGGGGCTTGGGAAGGAGGTGGGAGGGTAGGAAACCAGTTCCCAGTGAGCTCCTACAACTGGCAACAGATCCACTCTATTCTCTGACTGCAGGAGCCTTGGTTCTGCTGGAAGGCAGTCCATGGCCTGAGGCTGATTTTCTGTGCCTAATC